TGTTGTATTGATATTGATATTTCTATTAANTGCATACAGTTTTAAAAGCAGTCTTTCGTGGGCGACGCTGTCGAAGGCTTTAGCTAGATCTAGAAACAGAATATCAGTTTGGACGCGGCGGTCCCTGGCTTTAGCCCAGTCATGAAACGTACTTAAGAGTTGTGTGACAGTCGATCTGCCTTCAAGAAATCCAAATTCGTTTTCGCTGAACAGGTTGATGTCATGCCAGAACTTTAAAATCCTGTTACGGACAATTTTTTAACCAATTTTACATACAATGCTGGTGAGGGAGATAGTTTTCTCTGCAGTGCTTGGACCCCTTCTTAAAGATGGGTGTTAATTAGCCACTTTCCATTCGGTAGGTAGAGTCAGTGAGAAACGACATATTGAGTATAGCAGTTATTGAGGGAGCGAGTTCTGAAGCACAGGTCTTTAAAATCTTTGTTGGGATACCATCAGGCCCAGGGGATTTATTTTCATTAAGAGCATTGAGGAGTTTTAACACTTCAGATGTATGACAGTTAATGTCTTTTAATTTGGAGGTGGTTGAACAATGGAGCAGTGGAAATAGTGTCTTGATCAAGGGCGGACTGCTATTACGCTATTACAGCGAGAGGTGTCTTACGTATTATAGTGTCTTGATCAAGGGTGGACTGCTATTACGCTATTACAGCGAATGTGTCCTACGTATAGTGTCTTGATGAAGTGCGGACCCCGGGGGGGACTCTCTAATATCAAAGGGCGGGGGTCCTCGGCGTCCCTTTTAGGGTTCGAAATCAGTATTTTGGTCCCACTTAGGGTTATAATGACGAGAATTCCCACCAACTGAATTTTGTGGTCCCTTTTAGGGTATATGACGTCCCTAAGCCGTCATTATGAGATCAAAAACCACAGCTGCTAATTTGATGATTGATTTTATTTTAATCAATTTCACGTCTTGTCACTTAACACTCCTTACCGGTAATAGACGAGATTATTGGTCCCTTTTATAGGGATGAAATTTCAGCACTGCCACGCCCATCATCTCCAAACTATACAGGTCCCTCTTAGCCGAAGTGAATGATGCGCAAAACAGTATAGGAGGAATTCAGTGGGAAATCAACGACATCAAATCACAAATAACATAGAGATTTACCGGTAAAGAAGTCTGTAGCTATAAAGTAACAAAGAAGAAAAAAGAGTGATTACGATACTACGCGTAATAAGAAAAAAATAACGAAAATAGAATCCTAAAATAGGCAGCAGTAAGTCACTGAGGGTGGTCACTGCCAGTGATTTGTTTACGTCCTCAGTGGTTCTTTTACGTCCACCTTATAACAGGGTTAGAGTGAAAGCAGATGGGACCTCCGGCTTTACGTCCGTATCCGAGAAGACGAGGCAGTGAAAGAGTAAAGTATCTTGCCCAAGGACACAACGTGATCGTCCGGTCTGGGAATCGAACCCGGGCCTTTCAGACCTGAGTCCGGTCCCCTAACCACTAGACCATCACGTTTCTCACGAAATACTATTTCTGTTATCTTGTGTTAAGTTTACTTTGGCTACT